TTTTACTTTTTCTTGATTAATACTTGGAATCTGAAAGTTTCTAATTGAGATCTTTCAATGCAAATGTTGTTTTATAGAAGACAGCTGTACATATCACTGTACTGAGGAATTTAGGATTGTATATTAACACAGAAGAAATAAAAGAAAGGAACCAAAACAGAAGCAGATTTTTGATAAATGTGCCAGGGCCCACTTCAATACCTAAGAAAGCAGAACTTGTGGAAGCAGTTTCTTCCAAAAGGAACTTTTATTAGGAGAAGCTGATAGCAGGCATAATAGACAGGATCTTAGGTTTCCCCTGAGATCAATAGATTAAAAGAGACCCCAGCAACCCCCACCCCAGTAGTTCATCCGGTCAGTTCAAATGGGCCAATCTCTATTGTGGGAAAGTTGCTAATAACACCGGTCGTTCCCAGGCTCGTAGTAATGTTGTTGTGGCTTCGCACCTTCCCTTCCGAAATGAGAGATAAGCCAGATGGCCGGAGGCTCATTTCTTTCTCCCCCCCAAGATGACATCAAGGGAGAAACAGTTCAAAGAGCAAGTATGCAGAAATGCAAGAGAGATACATTGTAGCGATAGAGAACACAAAGAAAAAGCCGCAGCGTATGGCAGAACCCAGAGCAATAGAAGGAATAGAATGAGAGACAGAGTTCCCCTTAATAATATATGGATTCTGACAAAATGTTTAATAGACTTGGATTTATATGAGGTATCACAAGTAAGGCATTTCTATCTATTATTTTAGTACTGTAAGTCATTCATTATAAAACAGTATGACAACCATTACCTGTAGTAGAATGCTTTAGATCAGGGCTTTTCAACTGGTGGTATGCGTACCACCGGTGGCACATTGGCACCTGGCAGGTGGTACGTGGCCCTTCCCAGCCTAGCCAAGTGTAGTGTATAGATGCTAAATAGTTGAAATAATTTTGATTGTTATCCCAGAATAGCACATATGTTTAAGGCCTTGAGGATGGGCAGTTGAGTTAACTCAACGTACTAGTTTGAAGTAGCTAGAGAAAATTAAAACAACTGTAAAATGTTATTCCTTTTACCCTCTTTGCAAGATGTCCTTGAAGAATACCATGATTAGTTGAGCTGATTTCTATAGAATGCAAGAGATTCTATAGAATATGGCACAAAATTGTGCTTTTTAAAAAACTGTTTCAAAATATGAACTGGTCATAATTTATTCTTACTGGTCTGTATCTTTTATGATTAGAGTGGAGTTCTCATGAAATGAATTCTTCCACGTGGCATAATGCCAGCTTTGGTTTTCTCATAATTAAAATATGGGTGGAATGTTGTACATAGCCTCAAATGAATGAAAACAGAATCTAGGCCTCGGTTGTTTCCTGAACCTTCCTGTGATTATTAAATGATTACTACTTCATGTCATATAAAAACTGAGAAGAAAGAAATGAAATTATACCATCAAATTACTTTTGTCTAGTCTGCTCCATTTGGTTTTGATTGATAAGCTGATCTCACATAAGGCAAGTTATACCAGTAACAGTGTAACAACACTCTACATCCACCTACGCCTACATGTTATTTTAAGATTAAGATGACCCAAAATCCTCTTCATAGGATTTGAATCAGTGAGCTAACACACATTAATAGATATAAAACTTAATTGTACACCTGTTAAAAAGCACACCATCCAATCAGGGACTAGCATGTTTTAGACGGGCGGGGGAAGACATTAGAGATAAATGACATCCAAAATTACAATGAATTGGCCCAAATCATTATGATTAAAATCATTATTGGTGAGTTGACTTTGCTTAATAAAGAAATTAACAGGGCTTACAAGAGCAAGCTTCAAATACTGTACATCATAAACAGAAGATGGAGTAACTTGTTTTTTGTATGACTAAAACAAAATGGGATTTCAATTAAATCTTAAGTATTTCCGTTGATAAGAGCTGCTTAAAATATTAAAACATTAAAATATCTCTCAGGAAATTTTGGTTTCTCCTCAATTAGCAAAGTTTGGGATGCTGTAGTGGCACCTTACATTGCAGTTTCTGAACTGGATGCTCTCAACTCTCCTCCAGTTCTGTTAGTATATATGGCTGTTGTGTGCAACAAAACTGATTTAACTAGGCTAAATCCTAATATAGTCTTACACTCCTGTTTTCTGGATCCACTTATTTTTGCAAGATTAATGTGATCATCAATTCAATACTTGTCATTCTACTTTTAAGTATATTTGCCACAAATATATCTAGTAGTGTTTTTCACTTATTTCTTGTACTTTCTTTAAAGTACAAGCATATTCATACTACTATGTTATCAGAGTCTTTCTTCAGTATCTTTTCCTAATATTGTTCCTTGTTATAACTCTCACATTTATGTCTCTTTCCCCCCCAAAACCTATATTTTTCTTTTCCACCTTTGAGAATTTTTTTCCCTTCAACATCAAAACATCTCCACCCATTGTTAAAGTAGTATGGTTACTGCACAAGACATCTGTATTCCTGGGTGAAGAGAAAACAAATGGAGAGAAAAGAGATAGAAAGCCTACACAGAAAGGGCTAAAAGTATCTAGTTAAAAAGTGTTGGAGTTGCACCCCATATTGCAAATTGAGATTGCATCAGATTTGATATTATGGTATACTGTTAATTTGTTAAATGCCTAGGAAGTTAAGGGATTCAAGAAAAAATGCTGTATTTATAAAAGCATCAGCAAATTCAAGGTGATGATCCTTAATATCATTTTTTTTCTGCTTGTGCAGAACTAAAAGAAAATTTTCTTTTGTTAAAACATGGTAAGTTTCATTGCATCTATATTTTTACAATGACCCTCCAAATCTTTAAGGATAATGACTATTAAAATATAAATCTAAACTTTTTCTCAGTTATTTACGCTGACGAGTGAAGGTCAGGTATTTTCATAATATTTGGCAGATAGCTAAATTAAAATCATTGGAAATAGCATGATATGAATTGTTCATAGAATCTGTATTAATGATGTATTTTTGAACATGACAGTTTTAAAATTTCATAATAATGTGACTATAGATGTTAAATATGTGCATCTGCATAAAGTAATTCAAATACGGACAGAATCTTTTTAAAAATCAGCAACTGGAATGCATTGAGACTCAAGTCATGTCTGCTACAATTAGATTTTAAGCATTACAGCAACAGCTGCACCAGAAGCAAAAGCATTGTATACAAATTGTGTAAAATTGAAGCCAAAACCTTAGAATATCAGATGTTTCATGAGAGGGGCAAGTAGATTATCAGTTCTTGTTCACAATCCTAGCTACTGCAAGAATTCTTACATACATTATTCAGTCATGTGCAAATGTCTTATCAAAATATTATCTTTATATTCCAAAGACTGGTGTGCAAGGTTGACATGGAACAAAAAGATCGAGCAAGACTAAACTATAGTGCAAAAGATTTAGAAATTATAACTGAAAAAATGTTATGTAACTAATTACTGAAGTACTCTATTGCCAGAATCTAGGAAGAATACTTTCCTGTGACAGGGTTCTTTTTTGCCTTTTGTATATAATTTTATTAAAGAATTGTTTAATGTAATAAAAAGCATAATAAAAAAATAAAAAGAAAGAAAAAAATAGAATAGGCAAAAGAAAAGGAAAAGAAGGAAAAGGAAAAATAAAGATTATAAAGAAGTGGCTTCTAATGTTTTTGACAGCGGCCATAAATACATTGATATTCTTTCCTCTCTCTCTCTCTCTCTCTCTCTCTCTCTCTCTCTCTCTCTCTCTCTCTCTCTCTCTCTCTCTCTCTCTCTCTCTCTCTCTCTCAGGTAACATCTGTGACGGAGTTCTAGCTGTTCAGTTGTGAAGAATAGGGGGAAAAATCCAAAGGAAAAATCTAGTTGACTGAACATTCCTAAAATTCAAGGCAAGCCATTTATCTATTTATGAGGGAGAAACTATTTTCAATTAATAATAATAATAATAATAATAATAA